TTCCCCTCCCCTAGCCTTTTCTGAGAGAGTTGATTTTTCTTTTAATTTGGGGAGTATTTTTAGCCAGCTGTCTTCTCTGCCTCATCTCCTTTCAGAGTGTGTGTGTGCATGGGGAGATAACTAGTTGTGTTCTCAGAGAGGTGACCCCCGCACGGTCTCCGCGCGTCCCAGATGAATCACCCGAGTCCTACACACGGAGGGACTGTGATGGGGGAGGCAGATGGCCAGAGTGGCCAGCCCGCAACCGCCACCCTGCGTCGCTGGCCCTCTGGCCCTGTTCCCTGATCCCAGTCAGACTTGACATTTTTATTATAAAACTCGGGCCAGGCTGGAAGGTGCCGTTGGGTGTTCATTACCTTGCTCATTTCCAAACTATTCCTAGCCCTGCTGTCCCGGTTGTTGTTTGACCTAAAAGACGCAGACAGTGCTGCTGTCTGCTGTCATCTGTCTTTCTGCTTCACCTGCACAGGGCCAGGCCCCGTGGCAGTGCTCAGCGGTCACTGAGGACAACATTGAGGTGACTTATTCTGAGAAGCCCTTGCACAGCCAGTCCCGCAGGAAAAAGGCAGCTCTTCCCAGTGCCCAGTTTTGTCTGAGTCCCTGCAAAAGGACCCGCAGCAGCGGCTCCCAGCCAGTAGGCTGCGGCTCCCAGAGTCAACGGTTTGATTTTGTTTGCATTTTAACCGAAACCTTTAGAAAAAGAAAACAAATCGGGTCTGTCTTCTAGGGGATACAAATAAGCAGGTGTGGCCGCCCCGAGGCCGTTCACTTCAGCTGCTGCAGCAGTAACATGGGGCTTTATCAATCAATAGCTTGTAGCTTGCTCGCTGAGTTCTTTTAAAAGAATCCCACCCTGGAGAAAGTGTTGGAAAAGAAATCTTTGACCCGCCTTCTGCACCAGAGCAGCAGCCGCCTCCTCGGGAAGGGCACTGGTTCTGAAAGTAGATTCCAGAGAAGAGAAAGAACAGCAAGTCCACCCCGATTCCGATGCCCGGTGCGCACGACCTTCACCTGCACGATCAGAACTGAGAGCTCTTGGTTTGGCCCGTCAGGCAGCGGTGGTCTTACGGGTGAAATGGCACTGCCTGTCAGAGGGAGGCGCCTGGCCTCCCGCTCACTTGGGACAGGCGCCCTCGCCCCGTTCTCTTCCTCTTGGCTAAAGCGAGCTCAGTGGATGGAATCACTGAGCGGGACTTTCTTAGTTTTACTCTCTATCAGCAATACATTTTAATTGTCACAGACCAGGGCTGATAGCTCTTGGAATTGGCAAGTGGCGGGGGTGAAGTTACTGAAAGCATCTAAATGCAAAGGGCTGGTGATAGCAGATGATGCAAATTGACACCCCAACTAAGGAAGATTTTCGGCTTTATTGAAATTGGCTAATTCTCCCAAAGGCAGCAGCTAACGGAAGACTTGAGGCAGCTAGGGGAGGGGAGGAGTTTGCCTGCCACAGGACGGTGACACCCTTCACCCCCCGTGTCTGCTCTGCTCAGCCCTTGCTCGGGTCCCTCTGCTGTTAGATTATTCCTTGCAGATAGCAATCAACTGGAAGGAAGTGTGTGTGTCTAATTTGCATGAGATTATTTAAAACAACAACAAAAAAAAAGGTCTGCATTAGTCAGGGTGATGGTAAACAACGCAAAGAGATGCCTTTTATAATATAGCCAGTGCCTCAGCGTTCACAGGCAAATATAATTCACTTCCAATTGGCGGTTTCCTTTATTATTCCTTTTAACCTTTTGGATTCTGCAAGGTCTCCATCTAAGCTCTCTCTGCCGTTTGTCTCGTGGGGGTGGGTGGGAACCTGGATGTCCTGTCCTGTGCCCCAGTCCCTCTTCCCTGAGGTCAGGGTTGTTTCAGCACCAGGAGCCCATGACTGGGTAGGTAAGTGTTGTGTCCTGAAAGAGATGACCCCCCCCCCCCTTCCTGCCGAGGCTCTGAGAGTCCCGAATGAATTACCTGAGTGTACAGAGTCCTGAACCTGGTCTGTCCTCCCCACTGGGGCTGGGGCACTCAGGGGGAGAGGACACCAAGAGAGGCACAGGCACCAGTCTGTGTGAGGGCTTAGGATTTATTGGGAGTTAGACTATTAGAACGAGGCAGGGACCCTCGACCCTTGTCCCTCTGGGGTCGTTCAAAAAGTTGTGTAGGTGTTATTTGCAGATAGGATCCAGGCGTCGGCTTCCCGTGTTGTTGTGGCATAGCCCCAAAACACCATTCGTCGGCTCTTACCTGAGGCTGGGCTGCCAGCATGAGAGTGAGAAAGACCATTTAGTGCTTCTCTCAACCTCTCACAAGCTTGAAGACTTAGGACGGAATTTGGAATTTCGGAGCCTACCCTGTGTTGTTTCTGTGCTGGGGGCGGGGGGGTGGGGGCGGGCGAGAGGTCTCCAAAGCCTTGGTCTGTCAGCAGGCAGCACCACGCCCTAACTGGTATGATCAGAGGCATGTTTTCACCTTGCTTGGGTCTTAGTTGTTGTTTTTTATCTGTTAAATGAATGCAATGGCTGGGATAATGGTCCAGCTCTGAAATTATATTATTCAGTGAGATCATGAAAATGCTGATTTTTTTTTTTTTTTTTTTTACAAGAAGAAAAGTGATTCATTTTATGTAACTAAATCAAAGTCCCGGCCCTCCGGAGGATTAGGGATATCAGAATTCCAGCCAATGTAAATTTAGAGCATCAAATGATAAGGTCTCTGAAAAACAAGAGCTCGGAAGGAAGTGCTGATGCCCTTTAACCGCAGCCTCACTGGTGGGCTCGGCTGCAATAATGCAAGGAACATGTTTTATTAGGAAAACAGGCTCCGTAAAAGCCCGGGGCCAGAGGGCAGGACAGCGGGCAGGGAGTGCTGTCCCTTTAACCAGCTGCAGCTCTCGGGGCCGCAGCACAGCCCGTGACTTACTGTAGATTTCCCCAGCGCTAAACATTATCGTACTTGTTTATATTTGAAAGAGCCAGAAGGGAAAATGAGAATGCAACTCAATGCTCCTTTTGGGAAAATTATCCTCATTTGCAGCCAGTGGCTGACAAGGCACACGAACCACCAGGTTTATGAAATTCCGTAGTGTCCCAGTGACCATCAGCCCGTGCTGACGCCGCACGTGCACGCACTTCTCCAAGCAAGCGGCTGATGATGAGCTGGTTAGAGTGGGCCTTTCCTGCTGGAACCCTGGAAGGGGTTCCCCTCCCTCTCTGGAGGTTGACTGGCAGGCACTCTCAGGCTGGATGGAGCCCGAGAAGCACACGCTCAGGGTTCAGGGGTTTTCCTTCTGTCCTGCCCTTTTCTCTCGGGAGGCCTTGGGAGCAAGCTGGGCCATTTGGGAGGAGGAACGTCCCGTATAGCTCCCCACATACTCAGAGGTAGCTTTTGTATCTGAAAGCGCTCAGTGCCAGCCTTTTCATCTGCCACGTCAGTCTGTTGAGAGCGGGGTGCGCCGGGGGCCACCCCAGCAGCGTTCAGGCTTCACAGCACGGTAGCCTTGCCCACCACTGGCTGGCTCCTCTGTGTGCGGAGGGGGAAGGGGCAGAGCTGCAGTGTTAAATGGGGACAGCCCTCAACCGCTCAGCATAGGGAGGGGAACAAAGGGTCCGGGGCCGTTCAGAGTAGTTCAGGCCTTCTCCCTGACCACTTGCGTAGGGCCTGAAAAGTTGGAGAGGCGCTCGGCCAGCTACAGGCCCGTGAGGTGTGGGGCAGCGCTGTGCTTCGGAGCATTAATGTGCCCCATCTATTAGCCCCTCGGCACAGAGCACGCGGCACCAGGCTCTGGAAGATGCTGATCCTCTGAAGCTCCTTGTACTCGATGCACCCCCAGGGGCAGATACACCATGATGTGGCCTCTAATGGAGAGCTGCCGACCAGATGGGGAAAAGCTCTCGGCTCTCGTTTCAGAGCCTTATGTGGCGGCCGCACTGGATCCTGGGATTCCTGGAGCAGCACCGGCCGGCCGGAGTGGTCTTCGTGGGCTGGCCGTGACCTCCCCGCCGCTGCTCCCGCTCTTGGCGGCCCCAGCACTTTCGTACCCCCTGTAGCCACTTCTCGGGCCCGGCCCGCGGGGAAGTTTCTCTCACGCCTGTGCGCCACACTCCGTTCCTCTGCTCCGGGTTGGTTGGCACCCTCGTCCTCTTCCCCCAGAGCCGGCGGCCCCCGTCAGCCTCAGCCGTGTGTGCCCGCGGGAAATGGGGTCCCCGCGGCGCCCCCCGCCCCGGCCTTGTATTCTTCCACGGGGCAGATCCTCTCCCCACGCTGTAGCCACTGCAGATGGCGCCCTGCTGTTCCCTGCCGTCCGTCCCGAGCGCAGTGTGCTTCAGTGTCAGGAGGATTAAAACAAAGGGAAGCAGAAAAGCTAGCCAAAGGCGGTACAGGCAGCCTCTGCTAGGCTGGGGCAATAACCATCTGAAAGTTTGGGCCTGGCCTTGTTTTGATCTGTTTTCTTGTTTTATTTTCTTCTTTACATTCTATATCCCATTCATACTAATCACAGTCAGTCCTGATTTTTCTTTTTATTTCTGCATTTGTCATAAAATAAAGCAAATTATTCCCGTCTTCGGAAACGATCGAGACTAATTAGTCGTCTCACCCAATAATTAGTTTTTTGTTTCCCTGTCTGTTTTCATGCATTATTGTTAGTTTTTTCCCCTCTTTTTTTAACACCATTACAGATTAAAATGAGCCACATTTGCAGTTGATGGTATCTGTTTTCGGGGGAAGAATGGAGAATTGCAGTACGGAGCGACTTCAGAAGCAGCAATAAACTCAAGGATAAATTAAGGAAATTGAATGAGCCACATTTGGAAGCAGTGTTGAGGCTAATATTCTGTCGCTTAAGGTTAAATTGCAACCGGGAGAGGTTCTGGAGAATCCGAAATCGGGGAGGAAACTTACCACGATGCTAGGCAGTCTGTGGCTCTAGGGGTCGTTTCTCAATGAAGATTTCGTTGCGGCCATGGACAGTGGCAAAAGGTATTCACCTGCAATTATGTCCTCTTCTCCCCCAGGGCTGACAGATGAAGAGATCGATTTGGCTTTCCAGCAGTCGGGCACGGCTGCCGAAGAGCCTCCGTCCTTGGGGCCGGGCACACAGGTGGTTCCTGTCCAGCCCCCTCACCTCATTTCTCAGCCGTACAGTAAGTCACCCGCTCAAACGCCTGCTGTAACCTTGATTGGGGTTGAGGATTCCGGCCACAGAGCAGGGCTTCCACACCTCCCAGACTCTGCAAGCGTAGAGCCCGGGATGAGGAGATGGCTCTTGGGTTTTTCCAAAAGAACGTGACACACCCAGATCCCCTCCTAGACAAACTTTTAAATATGTGACAACGGTGTAAGCAGAGACAAGGGACCAGAATAAATGAGTTTATGGTGTTGTTTCATATATTTGGGTTACAAGCAAGAATCTGTAGAAGTATTTCTTGGTTCTGTTTCCAGTTTCTTACATCATGCGTTTGCCCGTCACTCTTCCACGAATAAGAACATGAACGTCTGATTCATGACTGCATTCTCGTTTGCTCACTGAAATAACTTCTCTCCTAATTTTATTTTTTAAAGTTAATATTAGTAGATTTAAGGCGGTGTCTCCCACCCACCCCCTTTGTCCCCTTCCTTCCTTCCTCCCTCCCTCCCTCCCTCCCTCCGTCCCTTCCTCATCCTGGCTACACCATGTATATTTATGCGTTGACAGTCTGTTAGAGAATTTCAGATTAAATGTAAAGGTCCTTTTTGAATGTAGCTTTTAATTGTTACATGAGAACATGACCCATGTTGTTTTTAAGTGAAGCTGTTTTAGGAATAAAGGTTCCTCAAACTAGTAATGAGTGTCCAAACCTTCAAAAATCCAGCCAGAACCCCTTCTTTAAATCACTTATAAAAAGTCTAAAAATGGTTAAAATTGACTTCAGAGTGATGGAAAATAGCTCCAGTTTCGTGTCTTCAACGTAACTCAGCCTTGGATCTGTTGTCTTTCAAGACGCCTTTTCTATAATTGTCTTCATTTTAATTGTCTATCTCAGAAGTTTTAGTTTTTCAAAACATGTTAATTTAAAACAGTGCCTATCAGAGTTTGAAAGGCCTAGCTTTAAATGCCAGGCTTGATTGGACCCTTACCACGTGGTCTGGAGCTACCTTCCGGCTCTTGCTTTGCTGTCCTCCTCACTGGCCCCGGCATCACAGGGGCCGGGGCGTCACAGACCTCACTTAGATCTGCCCTTTCTTTTGCTTTCTGGGTGAGGCTGAATGGGTGAGGCCAAGTAGCACGCTCTCAGTTTCACCTCATCCGTGGTCACCTTGTCCAGCGGAACACCGGTGTCACGTGACCTCTGGGGCCAGAGAAATGGTGCTCAGCGGTGAGCCTTGTATTGGAGCTTCTGAGTCAGTAGCAACTACTTGTCAGCCTGGGACTCACTCCTCCTTCCTGGCCAGTATTCTTTCCGATCTATCGTGTTTGTCTTGGGTCACTAAACATGCTCTCCGTGTTTCCTTTTAACCAAAGGCCAGCTCTCCACACTTTTTCTTTGGTTGTGTCCCTGGGCCCAGCCATTTAATGGCATTTGTTGAGGACAGGCAGTGGCAGCTGGGGTGTAGAATTTTCTAAGACGCACATCTGTTCTATTCCAGCTGTTTTCTCCATGCTTAAAACCAAGCAGGTCTCTCAGCTACTTGGAAACTTCTTGCTCAGAACAGATTCTTCTGGTTGGTCACAGAGTTGGCCTGAAACATCATACATGTGCCTACTTTTGGTAGACACAGAGGGTCATTTACACTGTTGGTCCTTCTGAAAGAGGCGAAAGAAAGAGCTGGGGAGGGGCAGGACTGTCATTTAAGTTATTCTTCTGTCCAGGTCTCTCTGAGGAAAAGCATTACATGTTTAGGTATTTAGGTAGGAGTATTTTTAAGAGACTCCCAGCCCTAAAAATAAAATACATCTTCTTAGAGACAGACTCCTTCCTGCTTTGACGCTAGTGTAAAAACAATGGCAATGGCAATTTTTAAATCCCTGAAGTTTCTACTTGTCACTGCTGAGCTTCATCCCTCTGGTACTGCCGCACCCGCTCCTTTCAGCTCCGGGGGTGACTCTACCTCTACACTTCTGTACTTTTGCCAAGAGGTGTCAAAACTGCTCAAAAAAAAAAAAAAAAAAAAAAAAAAAAAAAAAAAAAAAAAAAAAAAAAAAAAAGCTTGATTTTGATTAATATAGAGAAACAAGACTTTGCCTGACTGATAATAAAACTGATAAATGACATTTGAATTACTTGTAGCGGTAATTTATTACATAAAATATCTTTTATTTGACATGCGATTAGTTGCTGGAAGCATCACTCAATCTGACTAGTTTAAACATGCTCTAAAATGAACCCCAGTAAAAACCAGGGCTGTCTGCTGCTGGCGTTATGAAATATACTAATCCTGGAGTGAGGAAAAAATCTGACTTTAAATATTTAAATGATTAATTGGGTTTATATATTTTTTTTACCTCTCTAACCCCCTTAATTACAAGCAAACTCAGGGGAGTTTCTGAACTAGGTGTGCAATCTGCATGCTTATCACTGAGGCATTGTCTGCGTCCCGGGAGGGATTTATGGCCTCCGCTCATGTGTGTTCCTGCCCATTTTACATCCAGAGCCCTTGCCTTCCCGTGTCTTGGCTCTTTAAGGACACACATTCCATCTCTGAACCCAAGCCTGGAAAATGGGATTCTCCGGGCACAGCCCCAGATGCTCACGCCTCGGGGAAGGATAGCTTTTTCAAGACCACCTCCGGGAGCCCACTGCTCTTGGATGATCACCTCTGGTCTTGCCGGCCCTTCTGCTTCATGGCAGATGTCCCACTCGGTGCCTCTCTTGGTGTCTCGGCTCTTTGGTGAACGTGGTTGACCTTGAGATGGTAGTCAATGGCCTGTGTGTCAGCAAAGAGAACTTGGACACCTGCCGGCATGGTACCGGGTCAATCCATCCGCATTTATTAAGCACCTATCGTATACTCAGTACACTATCGTCAGAGATACAAAACGTGATCCTTCAAGATCCTGTAGGTTCTCTGGGAGAGAGAAGATAAACTCTTAAGAAAAGATAATAGTATAAGACATTGTGATTTAATGCCAAAATTAATTACACAGACAAGAAATTTTGTAAGAATACAGAAAAGAGAAAAATTAATGTGGGCTAGAGAAGTCAGAGAAGGCTTTGTGAAACAGTAGGAGGCTGACACCGAGGGAAACTCGGTGTCACCTGGTGTGAGAATAAACCCGTGTTGTCAGGGCTGAAAGGAAAGTCGGGCAGAGCTCAGGAAAAGTCAGGCTGGGATTCGAGAGGAAATCTGACGTTCTCTGCTTCTCTTTTTGCTTTCTTTTTGTTCGACGTTGAATCAGGAATCAGTATGTGTGGACATCTGTGGTGCCTGCCCGGGCCCAAACATAAAGTTCTGCTGAATGCTCGACTGATTGGTTTGTTCCAGGCTGATTTTTCTTCTTTCCTCCCAAAGAAACAAGAAGCAAGGTAGCTTTGAGAGTTAGGCAGGGCCAGCGTAAATTTTGTAGGGTCATATGTTTTTCCTAGGCTTAAATATTTTTCCTCACTGTCTTTGGTAACCAATTTATGTCTTTCACAGACGGACCTATAGCTTCAGTTAGGGTGTAAATGTGTGAGTGATGAAAGGCTTTGACACCTCGATTAGAAATCCTGAGAGTGCATGGTCTTAGTTTGCTTCTTCATAGACCTGTTTAGTAGCATATACTTACCCTCGATTATCTTCATTCAGTGAGCAAGCACTTTTTACTACACTCCTGCTATGGGCCAGGCACTGTGCTAGACCCCGGGGATGAAAAGATTAATAAGGCCTAACTGCTGTCTCCTGTGTTTCCTGTCCAGCCGGAGAGGCAGTTAAGCAAAGAGCAGTGCCTCTGAGGTGGATCCGGGTGAGGCCAGTGGCACAGACGAGGCAAAGGGGCACTTCATAGAACAGGGGATGCTTCGCTGGGTGTGAAGGGCCTGGGGGAGGGGTGATTGGTTCATTGACCAACCAAGATGGATGAGAGCATCCAGGCTAAGGCAAAGGCGTGTGGACATGAAGCCGTGTGATGTTCAGTGGCCGGAGCCTGGGATGGCAGCGCCAGAAGAGAGGCCTGGCGTGGGAGGTGGCAGCCAGGTCACCACCCTCACGGAGGAACAGTCGAGAGCACACTGAGTATTTCTCTTCAAGATGCATCATCGGATTATTTTTGAGGCTGTATTACCTGTTTGACGATACTGTTCTTAGACTAATATTAAAACCATTTGTATCATCTGAGAAGATGCCGCGTGGGGAGCTAGGGGAGACATTCTGGGAGTGTGCTGGATGAGGCGGTGGTCCACATGCTCTGCCTATAGCTCTTCCCCTCTTCTTTGCCTGGCCAGCTCGTTGCTGTTCTTTGGGATTGGGGTCAGCTGCCAGCCCCTCTAGGGACTCTTTCAGATGTCTCCATTCCAGTGGGATGGAGGTTCCCCTTGGCCTGCTCAGCCCTGCTCACTTTAATGTTTATTCACTGTCTTTTCTATTAAATCATGAGTTCCTTGGATTAGAGGCAGGTTGTTTGTTTTTGTTGTGTTGTGTTTTGTTTTTTTAATCTATTACCCAAGGCTGTGACTTAGCAGGTGCTCTAGAAGTGCTTGTTGAGTGGATAGATGGTGGTGGAAATGTGCCCGAGAATTAAAAGGCTGTCTTGTGTTACCATCAGCTGGGAGGAGCTTCCCGGGGAACCAGCGAATGGGACCTTCTGTGTGCTCGGCCGTGCAGGCCGTGGGAGCAGAGGACGGGCCTTGCCTTCAGGAGGCCATGTGACCACTTAGAGGGAATACCAGTGCTTGGGGAAGGACAGTAAAGACTAACCCATGCCATCTTGCTTGGGGTGAATGGTGAGAGCTTTTGGAATTTCTGAAGACACATCTCACTTTTTGCTTATATAGAAGTTACTGGTTTGTGTATTGAAGAAAACATTTCTCTAACTTTTAGGAAATTACATTTTTCTTCTTTTGTCCAAGTGACTGATTTAGAATAGCAGCTTTTCAGGAGTGAGCACCCCGTCCGTTCTGTTTGCTTTGTGCCACACCCATAGTGGAGCCATATGGGTGCCACATAAATGCCATTTGTAGATACCGAG